ATATATATATATATATATATATATATATATATATATATATATATATATATATATATATATATATGGGTGTACTATTCATAGTACAATTTTTTCCAGTTACAATGCAAAATAATTCATTTGTCAGAATCATTAACTTTTATCGAAATCTCTCAACCTCCGAATACTAACTTTTCAAATCGTCAATTTTTTAACGATAATATCAATTAAAACACAATAATTATCAATACGAAAGAAACCTACTTCAATTTTGAGATAAAAAAACGTATTTTTTTTTATCAAATTTTGACATTTTTATGCATTTCGTGTTGTATTGCACGAAATGAAACACTGCATTTCGCGCAATATAACACGAAAAGCCTTTTTTTCCATAAATTTGTTTTATTTCGTGTAAATTTACACAAAATGCAAGCTTGTATTTCGTGTAAATTTATACGAAATAAAAAACAATTATGAAAACAAAGGCATTTCGTGTTATATTGCACGAAATGCATTATTTTATTTCGTGCAATACAACACGAATTAAATGCATAAAAAACATAAATTTATGGTTTCGTGTATCGTGAAAAAATACTATTTCGTGCTTCTTTGCACGAAATGCCTTCATCCATTTCGTGTTAGGGAATACGAAATGTTCATGCACGAAATATAGTCGAGAAAGGGCTTGAGAGGATTGTGGTTTTTTACTTTGAAAATTACAAATGAAATAAAGAATGTGTTCTACAAGTAGCATTTCATATATATATATATATATATATATATATATATATATATATATATATTAGCGGCATAAATTCAATGTATCATTTGAAAGTAAAAAGCAAATTAATATTTAATACATTTAATACCCCCTCAAAGCTCCCTACTCTTTGAGGGCATGCAGGTTCTGAAGAAAAGAAAACACAACATATATATATAAGAAAAAAAAAAAAGTAATAAATGTTTCAAACTGAAAAATAAAAAGGTTTAAATTTAAAATCTGTAGCAATAAATCCGATCGAGCTTTTCCATCTTCGGTCGGGATCAAGGATGCGGCGGCGTAAAACAACACTGTTCACACACGGGAGGAGTCTTCTCTATGTTGCAGTTGCAACACGCAACGTCACAATTGTTTACGCATGCTATATATATATAAACAAAACAAATTATTAAATACTAATCAGTTAATTAACATGTACAGTTAAATCTCTATAAATTAAAACATTCAGGACTAGAGAAATTCTATTAATTTAGCGAATTATTAAATTATCGATTTAATAATTTAACACGTTTTCACCAAGCTTCAGAACCGAGAGAAACTATTATTTAATCAAAATTATTAATTTATCGAGGTTCTAGGTTCTACTGTGTTAGTAATATTAAGAAGAGAAAGAAAGAGATTATTAATTTATCGAGCATTAATTTATTGAGTTTCTAGGTTCTATTGTATTAATAACATTAAGAGAGAGAGAGAGAGAGAGAGAGAGAGAGAGAGAGAGAGAGAGTACACGTACGATGTACGGTGACAATTACTTTAGAAGATGAAACGTCGTTATTGTTGATCATCAACGGAACACTCATCAAC